TGCAGATATGATCCATGTGTAGGTCGGATGTCAAGGCAGACCTGGTCATTCATTGTCCTTTAGCGTAATTTTCTGCCCCCGACATCTTTATGTTATGAGCACCGAAAGGTGACTCTCACAAGAAGGCGCGCTGTACCCTCTGAGGATCGGAGGCTCTCGTGAAGCGTCTGTCTCCTGAATTCGCCTCATGAATTTGTGTCTGTCTGTTGCACGGATGCTAAAGTTCTGACTGAAGTGCTGCTCACTCCAAATGCCAAAAGCATTTACAGGCTCCAGATCGCTTGGCACCGACAGACAGAGTTTCCAGAGAAGAACGAAAATTCTGAGAAATTCCAGGCTATTATCATAAAAGCTGAAGATAAAGTGGACGGATATGAAGGGTCCGTAGGGATCATGAACGTTCCAAATTTACTCCAGAAGCCACTCTCAGTGGTCCGTCTAATTGTTGTCTGGCATGCAAGCTCTACATGATCAGAGTTAGTAGGTCACTAGAATCTATGCAGCAGATCACAACATACTTCTACCCTGTTTTGTTTTGTGCGTGAGACATAAGATTCTCATCCAAAGCAAGTTTGTTTTGGGCAATTAGCATGATGGAATGCTTCTTGTGACGACATCCATTCGATTGGGCTTCAATTTCTGTAGTGTAGAAACTTGTTGAAATAACAGTGCACCATTTTCCGGACACGAGAGACACGGTGATACTAAAACGGGCTAGTCCAGCTCTGTATATTTTTAACGCTCTAGATATTCCTACAGTTTAGTACTTTGCCTCACACTGTCCTGCATTTGATCAATAACAGTTGATGTACTGTGATCAACGAGACATCTCCAAGAGGCACCTGAGAACCAGTGATCATCCCGGGGACCATTGCCTCCACAGAAACAATACAGAGGGGTGACTGAATCCCAACAGCAGGATTCTTTGACAGTTACAGAGAAAGTCCTTCTACTACGGCTCTGAAACATTCCTTTTGGCACTAATATATTCCAATACCTGTTCAACTCATATGTATCAATGGATTCCATGGATCAATTATTCGAGGAGTTCATTTGAATCTCCTGACAGTGAGGAAACCTACGGAAATGTAGGAATATTAAGATCGTTAAAAGAATGCATCGCTGGACTAGTCCGTTTTGGCAACACCGTGTCTCTCGTGTTCGGAAAATGGTGCACTGTTATATCCACAAAATTCAGGACAGTGTTGAGGCAAAATACGGAATAGTAGGACTCTTTAGAGCGTTAAAAGAAAGAATGAATCGCTGTACTCGACCGTTTTGACATCACCGTGTCTCGCGTGTTCGGAAGTGGTGCACTGTTATATTCACGATGGCACATCGTACAGGGCATTTGAAGGATTCCACTGGACTTCAATCAGCTGTTACTTAGGTTCGCGTGAAAGTTTGCAGCTCGCTGATCGTCGTGCTGAGATTCAACCTCCTCTAATGTTTTACAGAAAATATTTTCCAACGGGAGGTACAGATTTACCGGAGATCCACCATCTGGTCCTCGACCTTCACAATGTAGCAATCAGTGTGTGCAGTGTTCTGATTCACAGGAAGTTTTCTATGAATCTTCCTCTGACTCAGAAAGATTCATGGGGACTTTCTCATCAAAGTGGTTGTTGATCTGCTTCATGCTGTTCAGATACGAAGAATATCAGTTCCGGTCCACAGCCAGCCGCAAGAAATGGGAGAGAGCTCCGAGGAAGAACGTGCACGCCCATCCCATGATCATCGCCAGGAGCGTTATTGATTTCCTGGGACGAGGACCTTAAAGGGATTCCAACAACGCCTCCACTGAAGTGGGAACCGGGATTCACCCCACTGATCTAGAATCTTCCCCGAGTCTCGCAATCCCTCTCAGGCTACACCACAGAATCAGCTTTGTATTTAAAGTTCCTCGGCCAAATCCAAAGTCCGTTGATCCACATCCATACTTTCACTCCGCTTCCGGTACACTTGCATGTCGAGCCGATCACTTTCACTAGGAAACTGTTTCGGCAGAAGCAGCACATGCTGATTATCTTCCGTACTGGGAAACTGAGAGAACCTCCTTTAGAAAAAAAAATTTATTCACTTGGAGGTTCAAAAGGTGCAACATAAAGGAAGATGACGTTTTCCTGAAGAAAGTAGCTGAAGTGAAAAGTGGAGTGAAACGCTGCAGATATTAATAATATTATTTTTTTGAATCTGATTCAGCTCCCTGAAGTTGTGGACGTGATGCAGACAGGACATGAAGCGCTTTTGTAAAGCAGAAGACAGAGAGATACTGGGGAGCGTTGTGTGTTGCACAGGGGACTGGTAGCTGGGGAAGTCCGAGGGCTGCAAGCGCAGATCGGAGATAACATTTTGCAGGCGGTAGAACTGTGAGGCAAAAGCTTTCATGTCGCCATGGAACCACTGACCCGATGGCACTAGACATAGCGTGTCGAGCGATGTCTACACGTGTCCTTCCGTGGGGCGTGTTTATGGCCATTACTGCTCGCCATGGTGCACAATCTCTCGATTTCTGAGGGGCTTCCTTTCATGTCGAATTCTCTCATGTCAGAGTTTTCTCTAGATCTCCTGTGCATTTGGGATTGTCTGACACGCCCTGTATCTGCTGAGGCACTGCGGCTGTCGTAACAGCAGCAGAGCTTCACGACAGTAAGGGATGCTAAGCTCTAATTGAGCTGGATGTCCGGAAACGGTTTCTATGTGGACCGTCACAAATTCGTCGATACTCTGCAGATTCCTACTTTCAGGGACTATACTTTGAGATTGCACCCTACAGATCACTTGTGTAAAAGCCAGCCGACTCCATTCTACTCATTTCATTCTCATACTCTATTCATTCTCTCCATTCTGCCAAATGCTGTAGATGTTCTCAATTTCTATGAGCAGATGGATATGAACGGTGAAATTGCATACGAAATACATGGCGCAGAGAAAAGTGATGTAAAGGCAAAGATGTTATAACAAGCTCAGAAGATGGAAAATCATTCTACACGCTGCAGAATTTATTGCAGCAAGCAATTTTAAACGTCCATGACAATTACCACATCATTGGGTGGTTCCGGTGTTTCACGTCAAAAGAGTACAGCTTGCTCTTTCTCCGTACTTGGCATTTGAGGTTGCAAAGCATTGAAATCATTTTATCGAAAGCGGAAGCCATGAATCGATTCCAAGCAACGAAATGGAGACAGTCTGCGCCTGTGAGTTGATCTCTGCGCTTGTTTGACGGGAAATTGTTCAGTGTCGGATGACTGATTTCTCCTCTCATCGACTAAGTCAAACGCTCCAATAGAGCTATTTTCAATATAAACGTCAGATTATTTCCACACACAGAGTCACTTCATTTTATTGTCTGCAGCAAGGAACAAAGATCAAGGTGTCCTGTCCTGTGGCTTCTCCTCGTTGAGAAGAAAGAGTTCAAGCCAGAACCAAAGGGGAGAAAACGCATACACTCAAGTTGGTGAGCTCTCTCCGATTCTGCTCCAAGAGTGAGAAGCCACGTGTCCACGCGTTTCAATCAGATGGCAAACTCTTCACACAAACTGGTCGATTTATTTGAGAAGAAAAAGATATCCAAGCAAACGCTAAGCATTTATGAGAGAACAAGAGACAAGAGGTTCCTGGGGCTAGGAGCTACGTGTACAAAGAGCCACCAATCAAAGGAGAAAAGTGTAGACTCTTCACCTCGAAAAGAAACATTAGTTATGTAGGTGAGGGGAGAATCTGATCCTTTTTGAGTGCACTGTATTCCTTATGCGGCAGAGAATCTCAAGGCACCTTCAGATTGCGATACTACTATTCGATAACTCGAAAAGCAGCCTCGACATTTCCACTTTTTTGGAGCGTGAAAGGATGACACGTGTCCTTTGAGCTTTTGCTCATGCATGTGAGGGGCTCATGAAGTACGTGTTGTAGACATCCATTGCTCGAGAGTGAAGTATTCGGAGTACTCTTCTGAGTTGTGTATACACCATCTTCATTTTTCTCAAACTCGCAATGTATGTGACCTGTTGAGCTTTACACGTCCTCACTTTAGAAATGAAGACTACGACTGCTCAGAATGTTTGTGTGTCTGAATCTCTCACTAAGACCGAAAACTTGGACCGAGCTCTCCAATACTCTGTGCAACTTTTTCCAAATATAAGCTAAGCTGACCTCGAGCTTGGCGTGTAATGGAGCTATGCAAGGGAGGACTTAGCCGAGATGGTCAAAGTGAAATTTTCTTCACTGGAGTGTGAGTTCCTTCGAATATAGCAAAGCTCACAAACAAGCAAGTAGAATCTTGCCCATCAGTTCATACAACGGATGAGGAAGCTCGTTATGGAGTTGCAAAGACTAGTTTATTCCCCGTACAATTTTCACCATATGAATAACTAACTGCCTGTACACATTATCCCCAGACCGATCCACTCATTCCATAAATCAGCAAAGCACAGGTTGTGTTGTAACAAGTTCCAGCTTTGAGGAGCAAGTCCCAATTCATGAAGCTGCTCATGAGGGTAAAACCGTGGAAGTCAGAACATATAAAATTGTTATCCTGCATAACGATGTGGATGAGTCAAAGCTGTCTCAGTCTCAAAGCTTCCATGGTCAAGCGACATGTTGGGCGCCCGAAGTTAAATTGAACGGCGGAAGGAATATTCGTGAGCTATAAGAACAGCAATCAGCACATCTATACTCACCGACAAAACGAGTCGCGGAAATCTGAGCATTGGCTAAAACGAACTTGCTTGGAATCATGTGAACCGGTCTTGAATCCAAGACGGGAAGAGGTCTCAAATTCGCGAAGGAGGCTTTGAACTCGCGAAGAAAACAGGAGGCCGAGCGGAGGGAGACAAGACCCTTGTTCGAATGACCTGACAGATTCCGACATGGCGGTTTGACTGCTGTTCCGATGATGCACAACAGTGGCGGTCGACACGTGGGCACGTGCGTCAGGGAACCCAGACTGACACTATAAATCGAAGGTACTCATCACAAGACGATCAATACGAGCACTCATCATAATCTCCCTCCTTTCGGAAGGCGCCAGATGCACTTGGGGCCCCCGAGACGGAGTTTATAATGCTCCAGTTCCACGTACTCGCGGAAGCAGCTGTGGCTGCAGCTCGCAGCTCGACGTTCGCAGCTCAGTGATTGGAAGAATATCTCGAGCTGCGCTCTCTGTAGCCATCCAGTGTTGTACGCGTCGGTTGCAGACCTTCAACACGGCTTGTCCACACGAACATCAACCGCCGGGTCTCAGACTCTCACTGGTGGGTGCTCGACATCTTCTCGCAGTTTTGTTCATCCGCTCGAGGTTTCCTTTCGTGGAGCCGCAGGCTTCGACCCTCGTCCTGCTGCAGGTCCATTGTTCTCAGCGCAATTGCTCGCTTGGATCCACATTGCTGAGCTCACGTTCACGTCGAAAAGGGTGTCGACTGCAGCTCTAGAGTGATCAGACTCTTAAAATTAAGAGCTCGGGTAGAAGAGCAACGCAAACGGTGAAATTGCAGCAGTTTCGCTTTCATCGGTGGGAGGTTCAGTAGCCAACTACAGAGAATGCCGCAGAGGATATTGGGGGCTGGAAACAAGTCAGGAATCGTTGGGTTGCTGAATCTAGTGATCAAGTAATTCGACCCGGCCACAATATTGACCCAGCCGCCTGCAAACGAAGATTCCACGGGTTTCAAGTTTTGTCCGACTTTACAGTCAGACGATCAGTCACTCCAGTATCGCAGCCCGGACGAAGCTGTGAGTGAGTTGCCGAGATGGTTAAGTTTGCGAGGCAGCTGGAAGCGCAGCTGGTGCCCGAATGGGGGGCAGCTTATGTGAACTACAAATTGCTGAAGAAGGAAGTGAAGCGAGCGAAGGAGCAACCGAGAGGCTACTGCTACGTGGACGTGAAGCCCGAAATATACTTCTCGGGTCCGGTCGATGATCCCGTCCTAGCAGCAGATGCCTTGCCCATGTCATCAGCAGCAGATCCACCACACCCAGCCGTCCCTTCTCTGGTTCGCAGCATGTCTCGTGTTCATGAATCTTTCAGAACTTTGGTGCACACCACTGGAACCGCAGCAGCACATGCCTTGAGGAGCAAGTCCGCCAAACGGAAATGTCCCAGGGATCCCATCCAGGTTCACACGCAACTCATGCCACGCACATCTGAAAACCGAATCAGCAGGAAAAATGGAAGATTAGACAGACTTTGGACGACTTTGGGAGAGCTGTACTGCATCTGAATCATCGTTTGCCGAGTGTAGTGCAGGCTTGGTTCTAAAGCCGTCCGGGTTTTTTAATCGTGCAGGTACGTCGATTGGATGGGGAGCACTACGAGACCGTGCTGCAGGAGACTTTCGGCAACATGGAATCTGCGAAAATATTTTTTGCGAGACTGGACTCCGAGTTGAACAAGGTCAACCACTTCTACATGGAAAAGGAACGAGAGTTCGTGGAGCACGCCCAGACTCTCGAGAAGCAAATGCAGGGGCTCCTGGACACACGTCGAGTTCTCGAAGACAACATTTCCTCCTCATCCTCGAACAATCCGTCTCTCCCACGTCAGGACTCGTCGAGTCGGTCTGTGGACGAGAAAGACGCTTCTTCGAACCCATTGTTCCGGCTCCTTTCTCTTCCAGCCCCAATAGTGCTGGGTACGTCACAATAGTTGCAAATCGGAACTCAGAACTGTATTTGATGGAATCATCGTCGTAGACTATCCAATGATGCGGTAAAATATATTTAAGGAGCTCCACAAGAACTCAAGGACTTACAGTTGGCTGCACTGTCTATCTGTAGATGAAGATTTGGAGGCTGGCGATACGACACAGGCTGCATGTCCGGAGAAGGAGCCGCATAATCAGGACAGCAATGTGAGGTCCAAGAAGTCGGCAATCGCTCCGGTTCCTTCAGCTGAGGCAGAGTCTCTCGATGACGCTGCTGCGATCGGTTCCAGAACGCCGGATCGCCAGATGATGATGAAGATAAAAATTCCTCTGACCACTCCGAGCGATGCCCTCTCGGCCTTGACGCAGACTTTGAGAGAAAAGCAACAGGCCGGCAAAGACAGCCCGGACAAGGATCTCGTCGAGTCCCAGAATTTGCTGGATAAGAAAAAAATCAATGCTGCCGAGAAAATGCTCCGCAACGCTTTCGTCGAGTACTATCGTGGTCTGAACATGCTCAAAAACTACAGGTAACAATAATCGGTCCTCGACGATACAACAAGCCATGAACGCTTGAACCGTCGACACCAGTGATGATCTACATCGTGAGATTGATTGATGAGAGCTATCTCTTCCCGAGAGCTTCCGAGTAAAGCAGTTATCGTGACGTTTATGCTATCTTTAGGATTCTCGACTTCGGCCGATGATCTGATCTGTGTTTGGTTTCGTTGCGTGCCACAGCTCCTTGAACTTGACAGCCTTCGCCAAAATCCTCAAAAAATACGACAAGGTAGGATTCAGTAGGGAGTAAGTGATTTTCTTATGATCTGAGTTCAGTTTTGACAGTTTGTTTCCTCGACATGTCTGGGTCACAGTTCGTGCGCAGTCAGTAGCTGGATGGATGGATATATAGATACATAGAGAGGGCCGCACTCTATCTCGAATTGGACGAAACGGAATTGGAGACAGAGCGACTGGATTTGTTTAGCAGAATTTTGATTGGATTGTGCTGCAACTAATTATGGATCCTGATCAGGTCACGGGACAACGTACCTTGCCCATCTACATAAAGGCCGTCGAGACGTCCTACTTCAATACTTCTGATAAGGTCAGTAAATGTGCGCATGGCTTCGTTGTGCTGAATGCGTTCATAAATACGAGGCAGATTGGAGAAGGTTTTAGGCCAGAAATGATATTGCGATGCTTTATCGTGAGCTGAGAGAAGGGAAGGGTAGAAAAGCGACATGACGGTCAACTTTCCACGTGCAGATTCTCAAATTAATAGAGAAGGTGGAGACATTATTCGCCAACTTTTTCACGGGCCACAATCGAAGAAAGGCGATGATGAGTCTCAGGCCTCGGCGCAGAAAGTCTTCTCACGCAGTGACCTTCTTTTTGGGTGAGTCCCAGATCCCGTCCTCATTGAGTCAATCATTGTCGGACCGCTCTGGCTCGCTCACTCGAGTCCTTCACTACCTATGGCGTGAGTCACATCTGCAGCAATGGAATTCATGTCAACGTCAACCCGAGAAAACATTCCTCGACCTTCGATCCTCGCTGAGCTGAGCTGAAAGTGAAACATTCTTGACAGTAAAGTCAGTGCACCCGTGGTTCGATTTACATACTGTACATGCTAAACTTTGGCCATGTCATGATCGTTCCCCTTGCAGGTCTATTCAGTGGAGGCTCGCTCGCTTTACTAGCCGTGTTTGCAATCCTACTGGACCTCATGCTCCCTGACTACAACACGCCCAGCGATGAGGAACGAGATCCAGAGGAGAGTGTCCCTCACGGCATATACCTCAAGACTATATTCCCAGTTTTCAGGTATGGCGGTGAAACTTCATTTTCAGCATTTTAGAAGAATAAGAAACTAATCTTGGTTTGGGCTGGCTACTGAAGGCCAAGCAGGATATCGATTTGGGGACATGGAGGTTTGAAGGCCTGGCTGAAGATGATGACTTAATGGCTCGATTTGATGTGTGTGCTCGATTGTAGCGTGGCGGCGCTCATACTCATACACATGTACATGTATGGAGCGAACCTATACTTCTGGAGTCGAATGCGGATCAATTATGCCTTCGTCTTCGAGTTCAAGCAATTGACGGAGCTCCACCATCGGGAAGTTCTCATGACTGCGTCGATTCTCACGACCGTGCTTCTCTCAGCTATGGTGGGCCATCTGGCGCTTCACTCCATGTCCGACTCTCCATCTGTCGACCTCATTCCCCTCGGGGTGATCGCGGTGAGTTCTTTGCCTCAGGCGAAGGTTGATTCTTGCTCCTCTGATTTCCATTGGTGTCACTCGAGCGACGACGATTCCTGCAAGTGCTTGTGGTTTCTGTGAAAAGCGATGCAAATTCTTGTGACCGACCGCCAGCGGTGCAGGCATTCGACTGACTTTGTTCATTCTCTGCTTCGTTGGTTTCTCAGCTCTTAGTGGCGTTGCTCTTTTTCCCTTTAAACATATTTTACCGAAGCAGCAGAGTCTTCCTACTCACATGCTTGCTCCACTGCCTCTGGGCCCCGTTGTACAAGGTGAGATTTGTCCCTTCTTGGAGGTGAAGAAGCTTAAATTTTATTCCACTGAAAGGTCATGCAGTTAGTCAGATTTGACATCTCTTAGTTGCAAGCAGCACATTTGGAATCGACTCTCAGTCTTACGAAGTTCATGGAAAGTCAATTTCTAAAGAGCTATTTTCTTATGGTTCAGGTGGTGTTGGCAGACTTCTTCCTGGCCGACCAGATGACTAGCCAGGTAACGGACGAGGTCGCAATGCAAACATTTCATAAGCTGGATGGGCAATATGTTCAACTTCATTATAAACTTCGTGTGGAATTGTTTTGAAGCATTTCGATCTGACATTCTGACATTTTGGGGCTATACGGCAGGTACCGATGCTGAGAAATCTGCAGTACGTGACTTGCTACTACTTCGGGAGCTTCTTCACAGAGGGAGATGCTGATTCCTGCTTGGACAACGATCAGTACAAAGGATTGACTTATCTCATGTCACTGCTACCTTACTGGTGGCGATTCATGCAGGTCAGGCACTACTCTGCCACATGAATATGTTTGGGCTCATTTCTCAGATTAATTTTGTCCTCGAAATCCTGAGAGGTTCACATCAGCGTTCTCACATTCTGCTCGGTGTCTGCAGTGCGTCAGACGATTTGTGGACGAGGCTGATCAAAATCACCTCAAAAACGCAGCCAAGTATTTCTCGGCGATGTTGGCGGTGGCTCTGAGAATCCAGCACGGGAGAGATGGATCTGCAGTATGGTCCGTGCTGTTCATCTCCGTGTCCACTGCTGCGACGGCTTATCAAATCTACTGGGATCTTGTCATCGACTGGGGTCTGCTCCGGCGAGACTCCTCCAACAAATGGCTTCGAGATAATCTCATCATGCCCAAGAAAAAATACATTTACTTCATTTCCATGGCAAGTATCTTATTTTTGCTCCTCCATATTATCGTCATCGACATTTTACGAGAGTTTTAAGCACTAAAACCCGAAATCTTAGGCTTCGAGGTTATCAGAATCATCCACAGTTCGAACAGAGACTGTATCCAAAGGTAGTAAGAAGGTGGCAGGATGAGTGACATGTGTTTCCCACTCTCTGCAGATTTTGAACGTGATATTGAGACTGGCCTGGTTACAATCGATCGTACGCTTCCGATTCGGTCAAATGGACTTCCAAGTAGCTGACTTCACGTTTGCTGCGCTGGAAGTGATCCGAAGAGGAATGTGGAATTTCTTCCGGTACGTAAAATCTGTTTTGACAGAAGCTCTTCTCCGATTCCGAGTACAGCGATCATTTGGCAGTCCTCTGACGATGAATTTTCTCGTACTGCTGATGCCCCACAGGATCGAGAACGAGCATCTGAACAACGTCGGCAAGTACAGAGCGACGAAAACGGTGCCCCTGCCCTTCGAGGACCCTGCACGTGACGACTGACGGAGTTGAACGTCTCGTCGCACCGGTCTCCACCGTCGGACCGACGCCCGTCCGAAGCAGCCCACGCTCCAAGTTCCACGTCACTCCCCGCGCGCGAGAGGAATGCGCTGCACGGAGAGAGCGCGTTCCCGCTGTAAAATATTGCGCCAGTTCAAAGTGACCGATGGGACTTGGCTTGAGTGCCCGGAGGACAACCGATGATTGTTCTGGATCTGGTCCGCGGATTATTGGTTATTGCTCTATGGGACACGTACCTGTGACCTCAGATAGTAGACGTACATTACGATGAGCAAAGTACCGTATATGTACACTCTCTACCTCATGATTTTTATTGGCGGACGATCGGTGATAGTTCTGGATCTGGTCCGCCAGTTATAGCTCTGCGGGACACGTACCCGTGACGTTATATAGGAGAAGTACATTACGAAGAGCAAAGTTCCGTACATGTACGCTCACTATCTGATGTCATGGCGACAATCATTGTGCGTGTACCGTAATACAGAGTCTAGCTGCTACTTCTCTTACACGCGGCTAGGAATTGGCTGTCAATGCGTAGGGTGCCTTGTAGAACATTTATTTAATAAGTTTTGGAAGCTTGGTGCCGAAGGAGCAATATGATTTGTCACAAACAACTTCATAATGAGATGTTACATTACCAGGATAAGATTTTTAATTTTCATTTATGCGTTTGATGAGTACGAGTGTGTCGATCTATTGAGTATTGTAGATTACTATGATTGACAGTTGGTTGTTTCTTCACTTTTTTTCATTTTTTGTGATAATATACAAATTATATTTATATGATTACATAATTTATAAAATAAAACTTACAACATCAATCTATTTTTAATTTATGTGTATATATTTTTCTTATATACAATTTTTTATTTCTATGTGTATATACGTATAATATCATAATTTGATATTATAAAATAAAATTTAATCATAAATTTCTGAACGATTAATATTAAATTTTTTTATCTTATACATAATTATTTATAATATTGAATTTATTAGAACAGTTTTATACGTTATTAGAGAAATAAAATTATTTATTCCAACTCGAAATTATTATCAAAAATATAATAGAGTGAGAAATATAATGAATCTAAGATAAAATAATTTCATAAATAATTAAATTGAATCCGGATCTTTAATAAACGAGATAAATTTCACATATTAAAAACTCATTACAAACATCTAGCTCAGAAGTACAGAGAATGATATTTTAACTGCAACACAGAAATCTTTTTAAAGGTTGCTGGCTATGACTCTTTATTTTACATTAATTCATCAGGTCTTTCATACTCACTATAGTTATTTGACCATTCAAAAAAAGAAATGATGTTTTGTTTTGTTAGACACGAGTTTTGATTATGCGAAGCGTTCCATTTTCATTAGATACTTTCCCAACCAAACTACCAGTATAGTCTAAATTACGTTTCAGAATGTCTGATAGCAAAATACATTTTGGTTCTTACGCTGAGAGCAAGATATACGATTCCAGGAAATCTTTTGAGAATTCTAATTTGGTTCAGAATTGTAAAATGATTCTTTTAAACTTTACTAATGTAGATCGACCGTAATTCTCTACATTTTATATTTTCTATAATCATATATAAATACATATAAAGTTGAATACGTTCCTCCATTCCGGAGTCGCCTCAGTTAACAGTACGAATCTCTCTGGAACATAGCTGAAATTTATTCCTAAGAATTGATTAGTTACAATAAAAAATAGCCAGCTCAACTATGCACTGTGCGGAGATTTACATGCTCAGATAGCAAATGAAAATACCCCAATAGTTTACGAATTCATTAGAACCCAGTTTGAGATTCTTGAGGTGCATTCTTACCGACTTGGTGGACAAGGTGGGACAGGAACAATGGCAAAAGAGCAAAAGAGTAAAAGCAGATCAGATATTTCCAGCAGTTGTGGAAGAGCCTGAGATCCTGGCCAGGCATGCGTGGTCCATGATGCTATGAACACGCAATGTGCTGCTGGCTGACAAGAAACTAGAGCTGCGACCTCGTCAATGAGTCTAAGTCCAATCGCTTGTGCAGCTCATGCTATAGACAGAATGACTAGTGCTGGGCATGTCGGATTAATCCTGAAGGCAACCATTGAAGTACTTTTGGTGGGCAATGATGAGGCAGGTAGGTTATCAAGTCGATCTAGTGCCAGAACTGAATTCTGCAACTAGATCAATCAGAGGACATCAGAGTACAAGTAAGGTGGGGAACATTCTTCATCTATCTATCAAGCGGGAATGAGAACAAGCTTGACTTGATGATCGGAGACAACTTCCCAAAACTCCCACCAGAAGATCGCCAGTATCTATCCATCTGGGTCACGATGTCAAAATCCATCCTACGAGGTAGATTAACAAAATTCGCAGATCGCTACATTGAGCCTTACGATTCTGAAATCAACTCACGAACGTAGCCCTCAAGTCCACACCTGAGCATTATCACGATCAGGTACATGGCAAGCACTTCTTGCAGCGATCTTCGTCACAGTACCACCTCCAGCTTCCCTCGGGAGAAAACGACTACAGTTGTGGCCAGAAAAGTCCAAATCTCCCGGGCATGTACATAATGAACAAAAGGCCATGAAAGTGGAGAGCTGTGATGCTAAACTATGACTGCACGGTCTACGAGACGTCACATGCATCCGTAGACAGACAAACCTGTCGGGCCATGCTCTTTAGCTGCTCGGCATAAGATTCAAGGCTCATCTGAGGAGCGATAGTCAACAAGCAAAGCAGCCAGCAGGTGATGAAAATTAGATGAACCCTCGTCCGCCCGTGTTGGAGAAACGGAGGAAAGTTTTGTCCTGCATCCACTGAGGGGGTACTTGAAAATGGTTCGAGCCTTCACAGTGAGGGGCCCGGCGATTGCTACAGCCGTACGTGCCCCTTCATCCAAAAGGGGGGTCTTGCGAGCTAGACGGTGCAATTTGGACTCGGACATCGTCATGATGTAAAACGAGCAGCCAGTGGCCGACGATGCATCAGGAAAGCAATATTCTAACGCAAACCGGTTGACTCGGAAGCTGAACAATTCCCGAGACGGGAAACATCTGCAAGGTCGTCAATTCCAGATCGAAAGTTGGCCACCTGCAAAAGCATGAACATTTGAACTCCACCCGGTTCAGGTTTGCCTTGGATTCAGGAGCTTGCGCAGATGTGCACATTGCGGGGAGGTGCACGTGACCAATAATGCGCGTTCAGCGCATTTTCCTGCTCTTGTGGCGATCTGGCGAGCATGCACCGCAAACAGCAAATGGAGGAGGAGGCTCTTGTAATTCTATGAGAGCTCAGGGCTCACCTCGGGACGGAACGGGTTGCGATGAAGGTTTGACAATTTGCTGGCGCTCGCTTCAGAACCAAGGCACGAACTTCTCAGCATAGGGCTGCGGATGCTGTCAATGTGATCGAGGAGGAAAGTAATAATTGAGCGATTCCAATTGGTTGGCATCGGGGAGAAGTGAGCCAGCGACCCCACTCAATCAACTTTATAACACTTTCCAGGATCAGTCGACTATTTTTTAATCCTGCTCGATTATGGACCCTCTGTAGATCGTCCTTGGGGAAGATTCTGGCAGACGATCACTGCACATCTTTTTCAGCCGGCTCGTTGAATTCCTTCTCTGATCAACGCCCGCTTGAAGCCTGGGCATTGGCCATTCTGAGTGATGGTCAGGAATGACACATTCGAAAACCCCCGAGTGTAAGTCAACAGACTTCTATTAATGTGTGAAGCGTACAAATTTGTAGATAGAGTGGACATCTTTAGAGCTGGCGCTGGTGTCTGGACAAATCACAGTTCGGGAGAAAATGACGGAGCGAAATTCTTCCCATGAAAAGCTTCGAATACTGTTAGATTAAAGCCACTGCCCACGCATGGACGGGACAAACTCCGAGATGAAATGGTCAAGTTCCCATGTGTACATGACTAGGACCGTTGTTCACAAATCCAGGCAATCTGTGTACTCGTGCACTTTACGGGATTTTTCTCAAACTTCAGTAGCCCCTGCTTTTTTCTCGATCCGGAGGGAAGAACTCTTTGACACCAGATTCAATGTCAGCTCTCCAGGTGCATTTCTCAGACCATTGTCGTGAATACCAACGCTTGCTTCGGTCAACAGAGTGAGTTCACTTCGTGCGGCATTTGATTCTAAAAAGTGACTCAAAGAATCTGAAGATTGTGTAGCGACTCTCTCTCTCTCTCTTCCGGAGATACCCAAATCTGGACTTCTTCATCATACCCGATTCCAGATCGTGGCTGCCGGAAGTAAACAAAGGCAGAGATTTTGAAAGCAGAGCATAACAAAGGGAAGAACAAGCCTTCGTTGTGAGTACGATGGGTACGAAGCACTCGCGCGTACTTTGATGTCAACGAACTGCAGGCCTAGAAAGAATGGTTCGCGCGATTCGGAATATTAGACTTTTGGACTTGCGTAAGATCACAAGGCTCACATCCTTTTGGACAAAGATTGTCTGCCCTCATGGAAACAAGGCCCCTAGCTCTAGACTGGACACTTGTTTTGTTTCATAAGGTTGGGTGTGACATCAATCGCCTCGTTTCATACATAGATGCCACCACAGCGTCGAATTCGTTATGGCATGCAAAGCATGCTGCACGAGACGAGTTTTCTGGTGTCAGAGATACAATGTGACTCGTGAGATTCGTGTTCTGGCAAATGAGAACCCGAGAAGAGTAGCCTGCATCGAGCAGTCTTCTGCATACGCTGTCAATTGGCACTAAAAACGAGCAGATTAGGAGCCGAGTAGATTGTGTGAGCCCCAGCCAACTCAAGCTCGAATGCATGGCCAGAGCTCCTACAATTGCAAGTACGGTTCCGACAGTCTAGCAGTCCAAACTTGCAGACTTCAGTTCAGAAGGTCAAAACGAGCCTCGCCGCCCATCTATCCATCCATCCGTCTAGCACAGGGGAATAAAACTTTGACCTCGAAACAATTGGGTCGAGATTCGAGCCCAGAAAGTTCCCCAATCAGTCCGGCCCAGGTGGTTTTTTCTTCCATGGAACGGATTGACAGGTAGCAGTTGCTCTTGAGCTCACTGCGAGTAGCAACGACCGAATTCAACGATGCTGTGCTTATGCTGTGACTGCTGCAGTTTATCTTATCGTTTGTTTGTGACGCAAGTCGTTTGTCCTTTCCGATAACTTGTCAACTGAGAGGATATGGTGATATCGCAGTGGGACTCGATCGAGGTCAACTTTCTTCACCTTTTAGCTTTGGGACAGAGAGACAACCGCGCATGGATACGAGGAAGCTCCGGCTGCATGCAACATTCGAGTGGACTCGAAGTCAATATGCCGGGATCGAGCCTTTTGAACTCATGAGCCCATTTCCCGGACGTGTCCGGATTGAAGTGGGCGGCTGACGTTCTCATGCCCAGATTCACCACCAGAGCACGGTGCTGTATCTTCCGTCACCTCGAGCGCGCAGATAATGACAAAACCGATGCGCACTGGAATAGCTCCGTGATTTAAAGCCGACTCGGAATCTCTGCAGCAAATTGCGCGTTCCCTCTGATTAGAATAACGACGGACACTCTTGCACCTGCCCCGTTGCTAAACCAGATCCCCACTTGCGGTGCGTTGCGTCCAAGTATTCTGCATTACTGCGTCCCGGCTCTATCCTGTTCTAGCTCCTCCTAGCTTCGGCGTGTCAGAGGTAGGGCAGCTTCCGCTTCTCCTTTTCATCGGAGGCCACTGGTAGAGGTTCAATTTTTGCACATCGCGCCTGCAGGCCAGTATTTCAGCTAGTGCTCATCTGAGGAACGATGGAACTTGTTTCGATGAGTTGACCTGTCTCAAAATTTTCTTAGAAGTGGCGTCGATTGAGTGTGAGCTGAGAGTTTCCTCGTGGAATCATCGGTGGCTTTTGGAGCTGGACTGCGGGCACGGCATGAGCTGTGATTCTTCTCTTCGTCTGATTCATTGGACATTTCTGCTCTTTCGAGGATGCCCGTCACATAAATATATAAAGCCTACTCGCATCAGATGTCTCGTCTATTCAGAAAGGTGGTCATGGTTTCCTATTATAATAACCACCCAGCGATCACAGAGGAAGTGGATACACGATAGATGATGCACTGACATCGTATTATAATAGAATTTACGAACCCACATGTTCATGAACATGTTCACATGTTCATGGCCTTGCGTTGTTGAAGGTAATGCAAGCTTTGTTCAATGTTCTTCATGTCGAATTCAGCGTATCGTATCACAAGAATACTTCACCATATTCCCAATCTTAGTGGATACGTTCAACTAACCCGCACATTTTGTAGAATAGACCCGGAAACTCGATAATGTCAACATCTATCCGGAACTTTACACGAGTGGAGATCAGATTTCTCCACTCTATTCTAATTTACAAAAAGAGCTTAACAGATGAAGACGCTTCACAGAATGATTTCGCAAGGACCATCGTCATTAGGACTTCTGATTCTGCCCCGGGAAAAATTGTCGCTTCTTGGTGCCCCTCGGGCAACGATGATCGTGGCATGCGTCAGCTGTCGATCTGATGAACTCTGCTCGTATGGCGGCTGGATGCCAAGAACGGCACAAGCACAGTTCCGAGGGTGGCACATCATTCCAGAATTAATGAATGTCTTGGGACTCTGTCCGGAATAAAAAAGTACATCCCTCGCTTTTGTTCACTTGCCACCACCACCTTTTCGGTCTTTCTGTTTCCTCTATGTTAAACTCTGAGGATCTACTACTTCTCATAGGCAATCGATGACATTCAGCGCTTGAAGGTGGGCTCCTTTACGTGAGACTGAAGACGTCATGACGTTGTCGAGGTTCACTTTCTTACATTCTGGATCACACAAGTCACAGAAGGTGACAGCTGTGCGCTGTTGTGTTGAGATAAGTGGCTGGAGATTGCCAGCCTTAGATCCCCTACTGCATATGCTCTGAAAGCTTATTTGCAGGAGCTTCGGCATAGTTTTGTTGATACAGACTCAACCAATTGCGTTGGGTGTCAACTCCTGGACATATTAAACCCTTGAGAATTGGCTCATGGAATGCATCACTGAAATCGAGGTCTCCACTTGGAGATGGGATTCATCTGAGTCTGTGTGTAGTAAGCGTAAGCTCTGAAATTGCGATTAATTTAGGTTTTATAACTCAACCTCACTCACAAGCTGATTTGGCCAAATAAATGAAACCAGGAAGAAAATGTAGTTTCACATCTCGGTTTCTTGTATCGGCTCGCAGCACGGAGAGGTCAAAGGATGCGATCCATTTCCTTTGACGTGCCTCACGTGAAATGCGCGTGGATCCATCTGGAGTACCAGTCGGCTGAAGGGAGACTGACCGTTCGAATCCACATCGTCCGTCGCTCAAAGTTTGACCACAATGGGGTCTCCATCTTCAATCGATGGCTCAATCTGTTGAAAGGGGATGATCAGGACCGGAATTTAATCAGAGCCTCCTCATTCTCTCGGAGAGAAGAGACGATTGTCTCGGATGTCCCTCGTCACTGTCCGCACAAGCTTGCAGAATGCAGACATCTGAGCAGCTGACATTTGTCCGCACTGGTACCGGACCTGTCTGCGAGGTTCAGCAGTTTGATCCAAGATCTGCCTGGATACGAAGAGACCTGAAAAACCTGATATCAGTAAGACTCAGATCCATGACCTTTCAGATGGTACCCAGTAAATATATATAATGCAATTACCCCATAAACCACTCGCCTTCCGGAGAATTTAGAGACAAGAGCAGTCGGTTGTGCGTGGCGAGCATAATCCGCCAACGCGACCACAGAGCTACATGGGCGGGAGACTCTTTCACGAGGACAAGTTTTGGTCTCTGAAATGTAAATGTAAAAGGAATCGACGGTGAGCTTTTCAGAGGTTTCGTCCGAGTCGTGTAAATGAGCATAGAGAGAGCGGAGACTCGAGTCTTTCCCTGCCTGACCCTTGAGATCCTTTCGGAGTGATACGATCTGCGAGCACACTCTCCACGGGATTCCCTTTTACGCTGTGGATCGGAAGAAGGAACATATATAGCTCGGCCACACGCACGCACACGCTCCCCGCTCTCATTGCATGAGCACGTCGCTCAGTGACAGCGGGTGGTGGTGGCCATGCTCGAGAGTACACAGTGATCTCAACTGCGATCATCTCGTTCCACACAGACAGGAAAAAATTCTGGAAAATCCGAAGCTTCAAAGGTGTATCGCTGGAGCGTCAATAAAAAGAATGTCGATGACCAGTTCGCACGAGCCGTCTCGAGGTCGGCATGGACAGTGAGCGATTGCGGTCTCGCAAGGGCTCTCTCGTGCCGGAGCATGCAAATCTATCTTTATCGCAGAGCTGTGGGCAGCAACTGAGACTCCGCGAACTGGTCAGAACTACTCCTCTCGCTCGAGGCCAGCCCGATCGGGGGCCACAGTGGGACGCTTCCAGCGGACGTCAGGCGCGGAGTGACATGAAGGACCGCTGGCATGATGCGGCCTCTGCATGGCCCGGCCCGCGCCTCAACGGCTGGGATGCGCTGCCGGCAGCGAGAGATCAAGATTCTGAGCCGGTTCGAAACCGACGACGGGCCTTCACGCCGGAAGAAGCCTGCGGACGGTGGGGTCATCACGTCGTCCGTCTGTCCGTCTGCCCGTCCGTCTGTCCGTCCAGGGCGGGAGGACGGCGTGCGGGGCTGGACGAGCGGGGTGCCGCGGTCTGGTTGGACGGACTGGCGTGCGTTAGAAGATGGGGCGATGCAGTGGCGGGCTCCCGTTCGACGGACGGGGCTGCTGAACTGGAACCGGGCTTTGCAGCGTCGGTCGTCCCGTCGGCCCCTGGGCGCGTGAGCGAGGCGCGGCTCAGAATAGCCCCGCGCCTGTCGCTTGCGCTGCCCTGGCCAGGCGCTCGAACACGTACCCGCGCCTGGCGCCGTTGACAAATCCTCTCTGCTCTGTGGAGCCTATGACCGTTGTCGTACCTTCTGTACAATAACACCCGCCGTTGACGTCAACTGTTGCTGGAGGTATACTCGACCCTCGGCTCGGGCTTTTCTAGACAGGGTCCTTGTGATGCTTGTGATCGTCCCTCTCGTCCACCTCCCTCGCTCTCCCTCGCTCTCTCGATCCCTTCCCGGCCCTGCCTCTCCCTGCGCTGTGAGAGGCGTGTCGACCGATTCCAGCTGCATATAAAATTCTCTCATGCACCTTTCGGATCTCTTCAATTTGAAGTCATCCGGCTCACGGGCCAGGTACTTACCGAACTACCTACTCGCCTCGATTGTCTTGGTCAGGCCAAGATTCGAGGCCCCGGCGTCATTTCGAATCCGCTCTTCACCGGCCCCGAGATACTTCGCGCGCAAGGGCGTGTGTCGCATCCGAATTTCGTGACATTTTGAGAGCTGGGTGGTGTCAGCTGTCGCGAATGTGGACCGGCATTCGTTGGATTCGAACTGCTTTTTGACCATCTGAATCCAGGCCAGGCGCGGACCCAAGCATTCGACTTCTCGTCCGGTCGGGAATTCGAATATTCGTCGAGGCGATTCGCCACTCGATTCTGAATCCATCGCCTGCCTGACGAGTTGCGATTCGAAGCGCCTGCTGCTGCTGCTCCTGGTGGTAGGTGCATGATTTCGGCGCGCACGGTCTGGCTGAGGGACGAGCGAAATGCAAGATTCAATGGAATTGATTTCTCGTCTGGACGGCGAAAATGTGCAGGAACAGGAAATTGGAGTGCGGGCGGGCGAGCACATGCTGCGGGAGCAGGGCTTTGAGGAAGAAGGTGAAAGATGGTGAAGTTCTCGAAGCAGCTGGAAGGGCAGCTGGTGCCGGAATGGAGGCCCGCGTACGTGAATTACAAGATTCTGAAGAAGGAGCTCAAGCGCATCAAGCTGCAGCCGCGGAGGTCGTTCTCGGACGGCATGTCGCAGTCGTTTCAAACCGCGCTCAGCTTTGGCGGCTGGACGGAGAAGGATGGCGCCCAGGCCTCGACCTCGACCTCGGCCGCGTCTCCCCAGCAGCGCCACATCGCCCGCGCCAAGGACTCATTCGACTCGCTGGTCGCCTTCGGCGGCCATGCCGCTCACGCTCTCCGCAGCAAGTCCCAGCGTCGCCGCGGCAGCACCCGCGCCTGCGACGTCATCGAGGTGCGTGCATTTCTTTCCCCGATTCGAATTTTGCCGGATTCGAAAACTCAATGCTCGAACGCACCTCGAGGAATTCCGACGACGAATTTTCGCAGCATTTTGGCTTATGGCGTGTGATCGCTCGCTCTTCCGACTCGACGGCCACGGCCACGAGTCGGCCTCTAATTCGTGTCAGACGAATGCTTTTCTTTTCTCGGTGCGGTCGCTCGGATTTGGATGAATTTGTGCTTCTTGGTCGTGGGTGTAGGTGATTCTCGCGGGCACGAGAGGCAGGGGTTTATCCACGATTGTCGGGCTTTGCACGCATTTCGCGCTCTGCTGGGCTGTATCGTGAATTCGCCAACAGGTCGATTTCGAATCTTGGGTTGGGGATCCCACGATTTAATTGCACTCGACCTTTTCAAGTCACCTTGTCTTGTGTCATGGCATTAATCTTGATGCCACCGGTTTTTTTACTCGGCGGTCCTCGTTGCGGACGAGCACGCGGCTCCCTCTCGCTCGGTCGGTCGCTGAGAGCAGAATAATCTTGAGATGCGATTTTCTCGTCAGTACAATGCGGACTTTGGCCAATCAAATTTCTGGTCTCGCAGCTGTGTGTACGTGAGTTGATTATTAATTGAAAGATTCGACAGAAAGCTCGCAGATGGCTCGAATGATTCTGTTGACGTAATTTGGTTTTGGTACGTGAAAATTGAAGCTATCAGAAAGAAAAATTTGTGTCGGATTCAACGCCTCGTCAAATATTATTAGTAGGAAGTGGCTCATTCGAACAGTACTGACAGCTCGAATTGACGGAGGAACTGCGAGACTTCGAAAACTTACGTGTAAGTTTTCAAGTCCGAAGTTTCTGGAGAGATAGCTGGCACTGATGTACGTGAAAGCTTGTCCATGGTCCTCTGGGCTTGAGGCTTGAGGCTCTGAAATGTGGAGCATGGCATTGTCCAAATTGCAGATGTGGGGGATTGAGGGCAGCTAGGTGAAACCAGGGATGGATGTGCATGTGGAACATTTTGCGGACGCTTATGTGTTGGGCTATGTTTGATGGCAGATGCGTAAACTGGAAGGGGATCCATGGGACGTGTACGAAACGTTACTGCTAGAGCCCATTAATCGCATGGAAGCTGCAAAGCTGTTCTTTGTGAGACTAGACGCTCAGTTCAACAAAGTCAATCAGTTCTATCACAACAAAGAGAAGGAATTCGTCGAACAAGCTCAGGTCCTTGAGAGGCAAATGCAAGCATTAGTGGACATGCGAAAGATCCTTGAGGAGTCGCAAGACACGTCCAGTCAGGATCCCTCTGGCACGTCGAAAGCGAAACTCAGTGGTCTCGATCGTTCTCTCGACCTCACGCTGACAAGGCTGGAGTCGATGCCAAGCCTCGGTATAATAACCTACATTGCGTCCTTTTGCATTTTGATATGGATGTCTGAGTCACCGGATCCAACATGATGTTGGCCTGTAATCATACCGGATTAGCGACAATAGTTGTTAACCTTGTGCAAGTATAGAAGTACCATATCTTTCGAAGCTGCTATATGTTTGATCCAGACTTCTGAGTTGCAGAATTTTTTGATATGTATCTACGGATCGATCTCGTGAATATACATCGCATCTGATTAACCTTTGGAGCATTTTATAATACTTGAGTAGTATGTCGTTGGTGCAGATTTGGAGGCTGGAGATTTTGATTTGGAGCTCGAGACCGCAGGACAACTCAGCGGTTCTAGCGCAGCAAAAGCTGAGGATGGGGCTGCCCGTGTTAAGCATGAGTCTAGAAACAAGAGCGAGCCTTTTTCTGGATCAGCAGGTGATGTTGACAATGCCAGCTCCCCGCGCGCAACCTTTGGCCCACAGATGATAATGAGGATGAGAGTGCCCATTACAACACCGGCCACCACCATTTCTGCTATCTCGCAAACCCTTTGGGAAGATATCTTGAAGCAAGGAGGTCGGTCGGATTCGAATGGCGAGTCGCAGTTTTCTGTGACCAAGAAAAAACTTCAAAGGGCAGAGAAGATGCTTCGTACTGCTTTTATCGAATATTATCGTGGGCTGAATCTGCTTAAGAGCTACAGGTACCTAAGGAACCAAATTTCTCACACAGCCACATTCCTTCTCTGTATATTCACCCCTTCCTTAATTCCCTTCAGATGCTGTGTTGATACTTGCCGAGGCCTTCTATCATAGCTGGAATAGCTATTTCAGGAGTCACTATTTTGCAGTTTCTGTCATTGAATTGGTGAATTTTCATCACCATCGGACTGATGAAATGTAAAGCATCGATATTCCGACTGTTGACTTCGTCGTTTCTCATACTTTCAGCTCGCTGAACATGGTCGCCTTCGCCAAGATTTTAAAAAAGTTTGACAAGGTTAGTTACGACGTAGAAAGATTTCAAAACTTTAGCCTTGAGGTGTACAATACATCTTAATGTTGTAGAGAACAATCACATCCATATGAGTTTCAGCATTTGTTGACTCTAAGACTTCTTTGTTATCATATGTATCCTTTCTCTAGGCTTTTCACTTTGTCCATTCTTTACTCATGGATCTGTAAAGTACCCGCTCGGAATGTCGTGGTTAGATTAGAAGAATTAAAATCCTCTTCATTTGTTGATCTCAGGTTTCGGGTCATCGTGCGTCGATTGTCTACCTCAAGGTTGTTGAGAATTCATACTTCAATACCTCTGATAAGGTAACGGAAAATTTTTCTTACGTATCTTTTCCTCGCATCTCTGTCAAGCTTGTCGAGTACACGAATGCAGTATATTTACATGGTAGTAGAACATACAGTCATGCCGACGATGTCAGCCCACATGTGACGCTGTAAGACTCTCTGATTTTTCAGATTATTAAACTAATGGAGAAGGTGGAGACCTTGTACACCAACTACTTCGCCAAATACAACCGCCACAAAGCGATGCTCAGCCTCAGACCGATGCAGAAAAAATCCTCCCACACTGTGACCTTCATTCTCGGTGAGTCTTATACTCTCTGTGATACGAAAAGCTTCTGCCCTGCCACCCTTGATGACTGAACTTGAAAGGGTTGTGACTCGACTGTTTGCAGTTGTATTCTCATGCATCTTCTACTGTGATTATTGATAAGACTCTGTTTTTGTTTAGAAAAGCAAAGCTCTTTTTATCAGACCCAATGAATGACATGTTTGCACTGTACTCTGAAATTTTTCAGGCGTTTTCGTCGGAGGATCGCTGGCGTTGCTAGCCGTATTTGCAGTTCTTCTGCGTATTTTTCTTCCCGACTATCGACCCCCACGTTACTCGCAACTAGATCCCGGACAAGTACCTCATAGTGTTTATGTTAAGACAATATTTCCAATATTCAGGTATGCACAAATTCCAGAGTTATAGAAGGCTGAATCTGAAACTTTCGAAACTCTCGATTGAAGCTTTGTTTATAGAATATAATGCATGATGTGTCTCTACTCCTTGGAAAAGACCGTTTTCTAGATTCTGCTCAAGTATTCATTTGCTTTCACGAACAGTGGCTAGATTCAAAGGGTGAGTCTCCACCTTGCCTAAGAAACTTGCAATTTATTGTCTTATTTACCGTGACAATTTTAATGGTATTTCAATGGCTCTTATTTCAATTGTATCGCAGCTCGGTGATGCTCGTTTTGATACACATGTACATGTACGGAGCAGACCTTTACTTCTGGTGTCGTTTGCGCATAAATTACGCCTTCATATTTGAGTTCTCTCCGGGAACAGAGCTGGGGCATCGTGAAGTTCTTATGGTCACGTCAGTCCTCACGACTGTGCTCATCGGGTCTATGGTCGGGCACCTAGCGTTGCACTCAGCTGCGAAATCCCCCTACGTTGACTTCATTCCTCTTGGCCTCGTCCTGGTGGGTTCCAATCCCCAGTCCGATCGTTGTGTACTTGCCTCACATGATATGCTTGATTTCGAGAACTTTCTCTAATCCTCCTGTCATGAAAATTATGCTAGTATGAAGCACTGAGATACTTGACTTTAACCTCCGTAAATTACACTTGCTTAGCTGAGTTTTTTGTTGGAAGAAGTCATAGTATGCGTTCACCGCATTAACGGAAATTATTTCCGAACGGTGAACGCACAATGCTATGGTGGCTCAAAAGGCACGGTCTACCTTGACGCTTTGGGTGTACCACTTTTAGTGCTCAGAGCAGTCCTGGTTGTGACATCGTTCTCTATTTCAGCTTCACCAGGTTGAGAGACTTTTGACCAGTGATGTAGATCCATTAGCCGGAATATAATATGAACTCTCTAGGTTCTGAATTTCTAATTGAATTGTGTACAGCTTATGGTGGGCATACTCTTTTTCCCTCTAAACATACTGTATCGATCAAGTCGAGAATTCTTCTTGAAATCAATGCTGCACATCTTGGCGTCTCCCCTGTACAAGGTAAACGCCTCCTCTTCCCTCTCTAGTATGAAAATCTATTAAGCTTCTTCTTTACATGGATGATTGAAACGTTGCATTTCCAACCAATCGGATTGATTATTTGGTTATTCATATTCCAAGAAGAAGTCGAGAAGCGGACGACTTCTTGACTCTCCGAGACTTGTATGGTTATTGGTTCGGTCCAGCTTTAGCTGTTCATTTCTCGAACACGGTTGATCTTTCACCCGAGATATCCTCAAGATTCTTCATGAAGGAGAATACTCCAGAAGACATGTCTCTACTCCGCTTGGGGAAGAATTCCAGAGGAAAAGTAACCACTAAATGTGTAGAGATCCCTTCAAAATGTGGAGTGATATCCGGCCCCGTCGAGAGCATTTTAAATACGATGTATGCTAGAAAAATTTCGACCGTTCGTTCCATGTCCACTCAAGATTACAATCAAAGAAGGATTCAAAGGTGAAGATTCTATTTCACTGGAGGTAGGCTAGAGAAATACTAACCATGATCTGTATACCTTGTGGGTGAAGCTCCTCTGTTCCTTGTCTACAAGTTTAATCAACCAAAACCTTGTTGCCATTGTGCAGGTCGTGCTGGCAGACTTTTTCCTTGCTGACCAGCTAACTAGTCAGGTAAGTGATATTTTCGTATCAGATTTTTTTAGCCTCTTGTAAGGTGTACCAAAAGTCACGCTGTGGAAGAAAGCAAAGTATCCTTAAATTAAGTAATTATCCAAATGGAGAATTCTCAAAGTTTTCACAGTTAGTAAACACAGAATTGTTCACTCGAAGTCTCCACTTGGAAATTTCCCAAATTGAAGCTGAAATTCGACACCTGAAACGGCTATGCGCCTGATAATGGACATCTTTTTTTTTTCACAACAGGTGCCCATGTTTAGAAACCTGCAGTACGTCATGTGCTACTACTTGGGAGGATTTTTCAAAACCGGAAATGCAGATGCTTGCTTCGCGAATGAGCATTACAAGGGTTTGACATACCTCATATCGTTGTTACCATATTGGTGGCGTTTTATGCAGGTCTGATTCTGATCCATCATCCATGCTTTGTATACAAATACATCCAGCTGCACCATATCTATGATCTATCTATATCACCTATTTCTGGATGAACAATGTGTTCATATTGGTAAAATGTCTTAGGAAGTTCTTTTCTAGCAGACAGTCAAGAGAAGATTTTGACGTCGACGTAAAATTTGGATTTCCAATTGACCCCGAAGAAGTCTCTGCTTTTGTTCCCTGGCCAAATCTATTGAAGGCCTGGACTGAAGCAATATTGAAATTCTATCAATGCATTTATTTAATTATCTCATGTATTTAATTATCTCATGAAATCGCAGTAAACATTCAGCCTGGATTGCCAACTACAGACACTAACTGATTGGGTGACGTGTGCAGTGTTTAAGACGATACGTAGATGAAAGAGATAGTGCTCACATAGCCAACGGTGGCAAGTATCTGTCGGCACTGGTTGCGGTGGCTCTAAGGATCCAGTATGGCAGAAACAGTGCAGCAGTCTGGGCTGTGATGTTTGTGTTATTTTCAATAGTAGCCACGGTTTATCAGGTTTACTGGGATCTTGTCGTCGACTGGGGACTTCTAAGAAAAGATTCTTCCAATAAGTGGCTTCGGGATCAGCTCATCATGCCCAAGAAGAAGTTTATTTACTTTATTTCAATGGTAACTTACCTCACCTGCATGAACACCTCAATGTTACATTTTGCCACCAGACCCACACAGATCTTTGTCTTCGAATCGAAATCCGATTCCCATCAGTTAGTATCGCGGATTCTACTGACACTTCTGTCTATCATGCAGGTATTGAACGTCTTCCTGAGATTGGCTTGGTTGCAATCTGTCACTCGCTTTCGATTTGGCACTCTCGATATCCAGGTAGCTGATTTCATCTTCGCATCTCTGGAGGTTATTCGAAGAGGCCACTGGAACTTTTATAGGTACGTGGTTCTCTTTTTGCTCACTAAGTAAAATGTTTTTCCATCTCACTTATTCTCATATCTTCTTTATCCTGGCATTCTAGTGACTTCTCACTACTGTTCTTGCTTTGAAAATCTCTTTTACGATGGTTTGTGGTGATACTTTGTATAGTATTCAAGATGAAACTCTGAGAAGAATCTTAAGGAACAAAGTTAGATGAGTAAAATTTTGTAACTCTACCCCTTTCTGAAATTGTCGTGCGTTTATTTTAGTATATATTACTCATGGACTGTACTTGAGGTTAGAGCAATTTTTTGAGGATTTCCTTGTCTCGTATGAGCAGACTGGAGAACGAGCATTTGAACAATGTGGGCAAGTACAGAGCAACCAAGACTGTGCCATTACCTTTTGAACATCCTTCCAGCGAGGAAGACTAACAGACTGCTCCCACAAGAGAAAATGATGCTTTGGGCAGGGAACTGTATTTCGGTTTTCACCTTCGGACCAGTGACAAAGGTTGTTGCTCGGAGGTGGATTGCAAGAACTCCTTCAGGCCGTTATGATAACGAATGAATCTAATGAAGTGTAAATATTACCAACGACACACAGTGACCACATCAGATCGCACCGAAGTTTTGAGTGTTCAAACAGGGCACCTTCATGCTACTGATATTGGACGACAAGACAATATGGCGTACGAGAACCCACGCGTCGTGCCGGAATTGTAAGTATTATACAGTATTCTGAGGTAGAAGTATTGCCGGCACTCGTGGAAAGGAAAAATCTGATGTGATCAACATAGTCTCCAATAATTTGAAACCACTACAGCAGCCACAGTTAGAAGGCTTAAAGAACCCTTTGGCATTGCAGTAACTTTAACATCTCCAATGCCTTGTACCATACAACGACCCGTATAGTCTTTACGAGATAAAGTTGCAAAGTCAGCGGCAATTCACTTTGCATTAACCTACTCGACTTGTAATGAACGTAGTCATAGCAAAGCCACTCTCGAGCAATTCTTTTATCCGAACAATTATATTGTGAAAGATAACTGATTTCTCCATTTGAAAACTAGAATAATGTCACAACATTTTACCGTCCTGCCCATAGGTTCTAAAATATGTAAAGAGAGCTCTTTGTCTTGATTCTGCAGACTTTCAAAACTCACAAAAGATATGGAGCTCAAAATTGCATTCAACTCAATACGACAAGCGTTTAAATATGTCCCTTAGTAATTAAGGTAATTTTCTCTTTTGCAAAACTATGTGAAGAAAAGATCCACACTTAGCTGTTATGATTATATCACAGCTTTCCAAGGATTGTGGGTGAGTGATCAAGAAGGGAACGGGTGATGAAAAAATTAAAGTCTTCGTATATCCTCTCAATTTCACCCAAGAGACTGTATGTTAAGTGTAGAAGATTGTAGAATTATATGTATCCTGACCGGGGTTTACCGGTTAGGCTTTCTGCCATCAGGTGATTCCCTAATTCAGATAGTGGGTCGCATTTTGTTTTGCTCTGCAAAGGAACCTACCCTCGTACAGTCTGACCCAACACAGAGCACAAAGCATGCGGCTTTCAAATCCGTAGAAATAATTGTATCAATTATCGTAAAGTATATGACAATGACCCTGCACTAACTTCCATTCCATTCATAGGTCAATGTACAACAATAAAAAACTCGAGGGGTCGATGTGAATAAAATTTTGTGAAAGGAGATGCAAGGAATAAAAGGCGCGATCCAACCAGATTGACTTCCAAACTTCGAGCTCCAGTTACGAGATACATAAGCACTCAGCTCTCGATCTGAAAGCTCGTGTATTTACCCAACGAAAATTCTTCAAACCTGAACCCCGCCTCGACATTCTAGCACTCGAAAGTCACGTCTCTTCAATAAAACATGCAATGCATCGACATAAGCACAAGCCAATGATGAGACGGACAGGTAATTCCACGGATCAACTCTTTCAGGAGAATCCAAAGAAAAAATACTGAGAAGGTGATGTATGGAAATCTCCATAAATAAATAATGAAACAATGATTCGTGGACGGGGCAGTCTCAATTGTGATTGGGATGAGTATCTACAGTTGAATACATGGGCTGCCGGCCAGGAGCGACTGATTCTAAGTGAAGATGTATATTGTGAAGAATTCTAATTTAGATTGTACAATGTAACTCAGTCGATACTCCTTAAAGTGGGCTCACGAAATCAGTCTGTCAGATAAAGGAAGCAACTAATGTAGTACATTCGTTACACAATCGGTCAGCTGATCTTCCTCAACCGGTTTATGTGTAAATCTTTGATATTTCTCTCGTATATGTGACAAGCAAACTTTCTACGATTGTAGGTGTGGGTATCGTGCTGGCCAATCCAACGTCCTAAGGCTTTGATTTATCTGTGAGACGTCTTGCGTCTAGCAGAATTCACTTACAAAACGGGTGCCAGGTCTGATACCCTTGTCTGCCCAAAGAATCAATCAATCAATCAATCAATTTGATGAATCGGATCTTCCCTTATTTATCACTACAGATATGAGTCAAGATTCTCGAAGATCACTGGGGGAGAGAAGAGTTGGAGGAAACTATTGTTTGTACGCAAATCGAAATAGCCAGGGCACCAGGAAGGCAGCTACGAGAAACGCCAGTAGGACGCGGACAGGCTTGTTTTGGCACGCATATCGATGATGAACGGTGACGACAGTGATTGTTGTTGTGTCTCCTGTGCTGGTGCCAGGGGTAGCCTCGGCTAAGTGTACGTTCTGCGCAATCTCACCACAAATTTCGCACTTCCTGCAGCACCGAAACCAGCCCACCACGGCGTCATCATGATTGCTCGCTTGGTTTGTTGTTGATAGACACTTAAGTTGTTCATGACTGACTGAAGAAGGAAAGGAGCCAGTCTACACCATCTACCCTTCTTCAAACCCCAAACAAGTCACAGAACCGCCCTCGTGTCGGACAATGGATTACTTCCGATGTCAGTTGCCCATCCCTCTGCCCAAGGTTCCTGCCACATCTTGACACGGATGACGAGAGTTGTCCCTAGGCCAGCTTTACGAATTCTACACCATCTGCCCTTCTCTGAACCCAAGATAATTCATCGTCGACTGCATGCGACGTGCCCCTACTTATCTGCCCCAAGCTGCAACAAACTTAGGGACTGCAATTCCATTGATTATTCTGGTGCCTGGAATTAACTGATTCCTTCTCAAAGCCCTGCACGCTGCATGAAAGCTTATTCAATCATACTCCAACACTTACACACGTGACCTCAGTGTACCAGTTACCTTCCCAATCCATCCAAAGGTGGATAACATGTCACTCAAGCACCTGGTTGGCTCACAAAAGAGCCTCCACTACTCCAATACGTGCAACTTACATTTAGTTTCCTCCCAGAACAAAAAATTCGTACCACACTATCCCCAATAATGTCTCACTGATTTTTCTGTACATGTTAACGCTTATATCCTCAACTGGTCATGCAACTTTTTCCCGTGCAACTTAAAACTTGAAACAGGTGAACCCTTTTCGTCATGAAATCTACTTAACTTCGCCTCGGACAGACATCGCATGCATGAGCAGACAACATTCTACTACTACGACATAGAACCAATATACTAGAATATTAGGTCTTCCTAAAAGTATTGTTCTGTGGAAATGGAAATTTCAGGAAGACGTGCGACACTGAAATCTGTAATTCTTTGATTTTGGCCATTAATTCTGTCCAATTTGTGAAAATTCGGTTCATCTTCATGTAAGTCGAGATCATCAGTCCTTTTCCGGAACGAAAACTGCAATCTGTCGTCACAGCACCTCTGAGTTCCGAGCATTCGAAACACAGGGCTTCAGCGTAAAGAAAAAGAGCACTTTTGATACGCAATTTTGCAACCGCTACGCTTACAAGCTCGTGCAAGCACAACGCCCACCTTCTCTGGAACGTGTGCACTCCGAAGACTGTACATTACAAAGAGCAACCCAACAGCAAATGAAGAGGGAGGAACAGAATAAATGTCGGGATTGCAAGCTCAATTCAATAGACATACTCACTCCAAGTAAACAATCAATGATACTGTTGTATGGGCGTCGGTCGCTCTATGCAAAACTCAACTGATCACTCAAATGATTGCCTTCAACTCACATACCACAGGATTAGTCATTCCAATAGCACGATAGACCCGCTTAGAGTAAATCATCACCTAATCATGCTAATCAGAGAAGATTGATGGTGTCAATGTATCCAGTACCGTCATCAGATCCACGCACCTGATTGTACAACCGTTCATAAGGTCCTACAATGTAAAAGGGACGTCAAATAGATGTCCTTCTGGACATCCTGACACTAGACTGTCTACGTCCACAATGACAGAAGCACTCCAGTATGCTTCGCACATAGTTGTCTCTTCCCACGAATTCTCCTTGCGACAAAACACTGCCCCTCCCATGCGAGAGGATGAAAAGACGAGGAAGTAATCACAGAAGTACATGACAAGCTCGAGAGTTTGTTTCGCAAGATAATCGCGCAATGTCGCGCGAGCAGCACGTCTTTTCTCGACTACCTTAAAATACCGATCTCCGATCCTGCAGCTACGATGGCCTACTTCGCTGCAAACGTTCAAGGAGTAGGTACCCTGCCGTCACGTGGACGGATGATAACCTTGGATCGAACTAACAGAGACTATCGAAAGTTTCACGTTCCAAAAGTTCACGTTGACTGTTGAAAAACGTTGAACCAAGTGAAGTCATATACCGCTGACGAAGATGACAATCGCTTAAGTTTAGTTCACTGTCTATCCAGATGACCGACGAACGGCTGTATTGTTACATAATTCAGTGATACAGTACGCGAACCAGGTAAGATCGAGGTAACATTGGATCAAAGGGAGCGCGAATGGCAATCAAATAAGAACGAAATAATCGCATGCGTGCGTTTCCTCTGTACCCAAACGCAGATTCTGCAACAGAGCACATGAGGTCAATTAAGAAGGCACGCACCGGTTGCCTCTGACTCGAAACCAAGTCTCGGCGCATTCTCGGTGAGCGTGAGATAAATCGCGTTTGCAAGAACATCCGAGATCCATAAGCGACTCCTTGCTGGGGCCCAAATTGAAGTGACACACGCGACAGACCGTCTCCTCGGCTCCCTCATACTCAAGCACTGTGCCTTTTTGCACTGCGTTTTTATCAACCCCTGTTCCCGAAGTGCCTAAGCCCTTCTCTAGATCCACGTCATCGAACTCCTCATCGCTTACTATCCTCTTCTTCTTCCCTGCCTCCCATTTACCCTTCGAACTGTCATCGGGAAGAGGTGGAGGGGAAGCGCCTGGCGTGAGCAAAATGTGAGCAATCTGCCTACTTCCTCCGGCGTTCGAAAGATTTCCTTCAAATTCAGCCCCATTTTCCGTCACCACTCTCACGAAGGTCCCTGCCGATTCACCCTCGGCCGCAGACGAGGACGACTTGGCTGCCAATTCAACTCCCGATCCATCTGCCGCTCTGGTGACTAACGTCTGTAGCTCCTTCTGATTAACCCATTTCCAGTCGGAGGTCAGACCCTGCGCAACACTATCACTACTTCCAGACGCCTGCGCTTTGCTGCTAGATATCTCGTCAGCCTGCGGCGGTGGAGGTGCTGGGGGTGCTGGAGGTGCTTGAGGTGCTGCTGCTGCTGCTGCTGACGGCGCTTGCTCCTCAGGAGCCGCAGCCATGGTGACCGATTTCACAACAAATCTTCCCTAGTGAAGCTCCACAAAGACTCTCCCTACGCCAGTGCTAGCTCGTCAAGAGCTACTAGCACTACAGCCATAGTATATGCTCTGTAGTCGATCCAGAGCTGCGCTACGACATTTCTCTCAGCCTTTGAGAGAGGTCGGTGGACCCAAATTCCACGTACGCGCATACTAATCTACGATCCCGTCAGTGGCATACCGGAACGAGTACTTCTTGCCAACAATCTACACCTACTACGTCCGACACGGACTCACGCCCAAGCTCCACTTCTACGATCAATCGACGACGAACGAAGAGGCCGAAAGTCACAAGATTGCGTGGTCTAAAGCTCCACCCAATTCCGACCTCTCCCAACTCGCGATTGCCTCACTCGAAGCCTCCCTCGCTCGCTCGCGGTGCTTCTGCTCCCGGAGCCCTCCTGCGTTTTCGTCGCCGATGCGTTCCTTCCTTCCTTCTCGTCCGACCTCAAGGATTAAAAGCCGATCGTGCGCGCTCAAGCGTGACTGTGTCCGAGCTCCAGCCCAGGGAGGCCGCATTCGGAGCACGGCGACGACGACCCCGAGCCCGAATTCCCACCGGATCCTGTCCGCGCCTCCCACCCCGCCCCTCAATTTGATTTGCAACGTTCTTGACACCTGCCGGAACGGAGCGGGGCCGCGCACGACCATCCGCACCCGCGCCCCCTTTCGCTCTCCTCTCCTCTCCTCTCCTCTCCTCCCCTCCCTTCCTGCCTGCTCCAGTCCGCGCCGCCTCGGCCTCAGCCTCGGGAGCTCGCTCTCTCACTCTCTCGCTCGCTCGGTTGAAGCCTCCGTCTTCCTCCCTTTGATTTCTCCTCGTCTCCTTCCTTCTTCCTTCTTTCCTCGCTGTCTTAATTTCTTCCTTCCCTTCTTGCTTTTCTTTTCCCTCTCTCTTTCTCTCTCTCTCGCTCTTCTTTTCCGCGCGAGGGCCGCGGGCCTCGACCCGCGCCGCAGCGTCGCGGCAATGCGCCAGGCGATTTTGACTCCGACGACGATGCAGCCTGAACTCGGAGCGAACATGCCGACAGCGCACGCGCCCCTGCACGAACGCGACACCGCGCGAACACAGAGCGTCCGGGCAGCCGTCGTCGCTGCCCGGCAGCTCCTTCCTTCCTCGGCACCGTCGCCTCGCTCCTCGTCCGCCCTCTTCCGCCGGCGTGCTTTCGGTCGGCTCTCGACGACGACGACCGTCCCAAGCCGACCTCCGAGACGAGAAGCTAACACCCAAAAATTCCTCTTTCGTTTTTTGTCTTCGGCTATCTGCTAAAATCCATCTATTTTTGGCTCAGAAAGTCTTTATTCACACTGACCTACCTGGCACACAAGACCGCCCAAATATATAAACGCCAGGATGCGGGATATGCGATGCTTCCGTCGGAAAGGATGACTTTCCTCCTGCGAAGGGAACCTCCCATCATTGACGCCGACAGACGTTGGAATGCAAATGATTTCGTTTGAAATAATTTGCTTCCATTCTCTGTCAATGATGCCCATAATTCTAGTCTCAGCTACTCCCGGTTTCTCTTATCGACGGGCTAACTATCAGGTCAAGGCGGTGGCCTCGGATGCGAGGCTGAGAAGCTGAGTAGGCGACGGGGGAGCACGAAGCTCGCTCCTCTCCGACGGCTGACCGACGCAAAAGGGCTCCGGGGTCAGGGGTGCCATCGGATTTGTTCTCCTTGATGGAAACATGCGGTGGCCGATACGAGTCCATAAGAATAATTATAATTATTTCAATGGACTCGTATAATAATGATTGAATACCCGGTGGCAAAGAAGTCTTAGTGTGGGGAAAAAAATGAGGAGGAGTCTTATGATTGCGGCTCCTTCGGATAGTCTAATTGTTGGTGAAGATGTGGTTATTCTCCACCTTTCCAAGTAGTAACAGTTGTAAAAGTGAGAATATTTTCGGACACGGGTGTCCTCATTTTGCTGACTGGTCTCTTCTCGCGCCGGCTCCTCTTCCTCCTTTCTCTCTCTGTCTTACAAAATGCGACAAAATGCCAATAAAGGTATTTATTTACGACAATGGCCGAGGCCCAGATGTTCCAGAACACATCGTTGGGAGGGATGGAACTGTGGATGCAGCCTGTAGAAACTGGTGGAAGTCAGAAGCCGACTTAGTTTAAGTCAAGAAAGACAAAGATCGGGGATGCGACATCGACATGCTGACAAACTGGCGTCAATAGGAACTGCGCGTGTGAGTCATCCCAAGAAAGTTTGAGCGAAAATAGAAATCTCGGAGCTCCTCGGATCGCGAGGCCGAGGACAAGTGTTCCATGGCAGGCACTGTTCTCTAACTTAACTCGAAGCATGATCGGACTTTACAAGTTTCCACGTACTCGGAAAGGTGCTTCTTCGCTCTCCTCTTGGACAGCCACAGGTCGTCAAGATCTACCTCGAGAAACAGCTAGCGTGACGTGGAGTACTGTCATCTCCTGACACGTGGGCCTTCGGTCTGCCAGGAATCTGCCCCGGCTGTGGGTCCGATATGAATCTGTGGACCGGAAGATTTCCTTAAGCCAGGACTGGCCCACACCCTCAGGTCCACAGTCCTACCTTGTGAGCTCGCCTGTCCCGCATGCTTTCGATATTTGGTATGCGATATGGCCTCCCTAATTGCTACGTTTTGTCCGCACTGGCCAAAGCGATCCACTCCAGGCACTCGGGAGACACTCCGCCTATAACAACCGTTCTTTGCTAGAGCTCACATAATCCCCAGTTAGCTGAGTCAAAGTCCGAAATGGATAGAACAAAATAGTATGGGACATGGATGGAATAAAACAAGTAACCATGGGTTTAACCTCCAATAAAATCAATACGAGACAAATGTATATGGTCATGCTACACTATCCAAATTATCTGATAAATGCGTCTTTATCAACACAATAAATCTTATCAATCTACAATGGATTGCATACTTTGCAACTATCTTTACAGCAATCTAAAATATCAGTTCTTGTTTGACTTATAACCAAAGTATTAGGTCTAATTCCAAAAGCTAATAAAGCAACAACTCTCCGTATACACTACCTTGGTTGTTAACTTTCGATGTGACACCTGACACATTTCCAGGTTCCGTGACACGTTCATTGTAATGTATTTTATGCAACCATAACAGCCAATAGAACCCGATAGTTCAAAGATGCATAAACGCAAGGATTCGGAATCTTGGATCTACGAGTGTCGAGGACTTCCCAACGGATAAGAAAGTCATCCTCAGAGGTTATAAGAAGAAAGTGGAAGGGAAGGATTCTTCTCATGAGTATTCCGACTTTCCACTTATATCGATGCTGTACGCAAGGTGTGCTGTAGATTCATCCCCGATTACTGCTTGCAGGAGCAGGAGCAGGAATTCAAACTCCGATGTGACCTCTCCTTTTGACTGGCTCCAGTTCCTGGTGGCACCGGTGGCTTCTTCTAGGCCAAGGAGAGCCACAGGATGAGGACGACCTCAATGGCCGGTCGAAGTGCTCTAAGTCCGAGCAGACATTCTTGTCCCGGCGAACCTTCCCGTGTACTTTCGCCGTGAAACATACTCGTCAATCCGATACGCCTATTTGAGCCCATTCTACAAGAGCCACAAGCCAGTATGGACTCTCGCACACCAGGTCCAGGGTTCAATTTCGGATGCTCTTCGGCGGGAGACAGAGCCCGTCGAAAACTCGACGCGTAAGTGCACAGCAGGCCCAGGAATAGCATCCGTCAAAACTGCGGGAGATTGCGTCTACCCGCCTCCGCTGACCACAAAACGTAGTACAAACATAAACTCTGTAAAGTTAAGGCTAGGAGCGAACTCCACGACCTTCATAGGATAATTTTAAAAAATAAAATTTATCTGGGTGATGAGAAGGTATTCCTAAGTGATAAAAAGTGCGAGATCTTTTGGTGGAAAGTATGAATCTGAAAGTAACGGTATAGGATATGGTTCGATTGATCTAGGAGGCTACGACGGTATGTCGAGAATTTGTGGAGGGATCTGTTTCTCCATATCTGCTTTGGGTCATCCTCGTTGTGGGCTCATCCTCTCCACCGACTTTCATCCCGATATTTGCACCCTAGTCAAAGACCCTTTCTATACGCTTTCATATTTCCGCTTGATCACTTTACTTGTTAAGATAAGGGGTAGAACCCTAAAAAGATCTCTTCGGCAAAACTTTTCGTTCATTGTCTCCTATAATTTTTCTCCTCCGAAAACTACGAAAGAGGATGAGTTCGAAACACTTGAAACTTTTTTAGTACATGCACGGAAGAATTAATCCGCATTTATTTCGGAACAGTATCGGACGATAATCGTTAGACTTGTCGGTTTTATGATACTCGATGAAATTGTTCTGTCAAGGATCCGAAAGTCCACGTAACCGCGTGGAAAGATTTATACAATACGCCATCAGATATTGAAATTCGATCTCGCAATTGACTTCGGCGTTCGAGGGCCGCGAAATATTCAGATCTGCTTTTTCCAGAACCAAGTCGTCCTGCTACAAGAAGATGTCGTTAGAGCCAACCCAAAGGTGACCACGTAATGGAGCCCCACAACGTTGTGGTGAGAACGTTGCGGGAAATGCAAGCTGATGTGGTCGTCTTACAGGCGCCCTGCCGCGGCCTTCCCGGGCAGCTGCGTGACAGCGAAGGCGAACGTCCTCATTCGGGCAGCTTGGGATTTAGCAGATACAGTGATGGTCACAGGTGTCAAATTGTGGCTGTATGGTAAGGGTAAATCTGTCGTTTGCGGATTGCTTTCCGGTGACGTATCCACATGGTGCTCCAAAATCTGCCCTGATTCCATACGTCATAACCTTTTTCCTCTAAACGGGCCGACTAATACGACAGAACTGTTCGGAAGAGTCTGGACATGGACCGCACGGATCCTGCCTACCACGATCGCAATGTGATTTGTCTACGCCGCAAACCGGAAGAGCAGGTGGTGAAGACCTTCCGCCTTTCTAACACTGTGGGTTGTTACCCCTTTGGGTCTTTATGGCGACCGGCTAAATTTGAGTATGCTCTTCCGGCAGCTACCGAAGTGCACAGTTGTGGGAGCAAACCTGGACCCCTTATCGAGTATTATAGTGTGCCCCCACAGTATCTTCCTACGACTATGTACTGCTGAGTTGTACATCTGTCAAGGTGTTCCTTCTACTAGTGTTCCTTCTCCTTGTCAGGTTACCATAACTTTATCATCTTGTGCATTTATGGGTGCAGGTTAACGTTGATTGCTATAGTTTACTCCACTGTGCAGAACATGCAATATTATAAGGTTTTCATCGTTTCGCATAGACAAAAACTCAATTCTGGCTAGGTATTTATCGTGGTACATTTGCAATATCAAGACAGTTTTATCTGAGAAAATTATTCAACTGATAATGAACCCAAAATGGAGCACATAATCACCCATGTTTCAGTACAATTTTTGAGTTAGTTACAAACCATTGTAATTACTGACAAAGGAAGGTGCAATGTAGTTACTGGATCCTTAGTACCCTCCGTGGGGAAGAGAGAGTCCGAGCTAAACCTCGACACATAAAATTTCACGTCGCTGACGGGGCCAAATTCGTGGTGCCAGAGCTTTGTTGATTCTGACTTACCACAATGGGTCATCATAACCGGAGCAGGCAAAGTGCCATGAGAAGATTTGAACTTGAAATGCGCAGCTCCGAGCTTGAACTCGTGGTGGAAGATGAACGGCAGGTACAAGAATTTGGAAGGAGTCTCGATGCCGCAGGCCGTGACCTTGGAGGCGCAGATTTGCGACTTCGAGTGTATTCACGTCAAGAGT